ACCAGTATGCGAAGAGCCTCTTCACCAAGGCAGTAAAGAAATGAATGGCCCTCAGTCGTTTCATAAGACATTGAAACAATAACACGTAGTGCCTTTAAACAATTCTTGTATTGTATAAGCTGTCAAAAGTAGGTTTTGTAATAATCGTTTTAGTTGAGGCTAGTGTAAATTACTTATAAACCAAGACTTTCAAGCAACAGTTTTATCTGTTTTTATCTCCATATCACAGTAAGGCTAGCATCTTCCTACTTCATATAAATGTGCACAGATTAGTTATATCATGCCATCACATATTCTCTGAGAGCCTTGGAAAAGTGATGCCCTGTAAGCACCAAGTGAAAGTTTTATAGAAATGATTCCAGTTTGGTATGTATACATCCTAAAATGGACCAAATTATTTTGTCCAACATTGGGACAAATGGCTCCTAATCTTGTATATCTATTCCTTAATCATTTTGCGTGTGTGTATAGCTTTAGGGACAAGCTGAAAGGACAATGTTGTCTTTCTAGCAGAGGCTGACTGGATAAGCATTTTAGCTTTATTGAGTGAGCACTGCCAGCCCAGACACTGCACATTTCCAGCTTTTAGAAACATCTCACATGGAAAAGTCATTGCCTAGTGGGAATGTTACATGCAAAGCCATCAGCTGAAGCTCTCTGTATATCAAGGGTCATCCTGACTGTCCTTATGGAGGATCCAAAAGACTTTTATTATGAGGCAAAAACAGAAAGGTCACACTGTAAGACTGTTTCCCCCAAAGTTATCAAAAAATCACTTTTCTGTCCAAAGTGAAGTAATCTCTTGCCTCATAGAAGAAAATGGAAGGAGATTGTACTTTTATATATTACCTCTTAAAAATATATTTATTAGAATATATTATACACAATAATGTGTTTCATTGTGACATTTTCATATGTTTGCAATGTATTTCGGTCCCACTTTTCTCTGCCCCCCATTACCCTTTCTTGTAACCCTCTTACTCCTACTGATCCCTGTCCTCTTCCCAAGTAGCAGCCAGCACCACCACCCCCACCATAAGGAGCAGCCAGCCCCACCCCCCCCCCCACCCTGCCAATTTTTATGGGGTCCCCCCCCCCGCCTGTTTTGGTTTGTTTTTGTTTTTATTTGACCCTAATGAGCTTAACTAAGGCTGTTTACAGGAGCATGGGTACTTTACCTCTGACAACACCCATTGATGGAAAGTTCTCTCACTTCCCTTCTAACCATTAACTCCTTATAAATGCTGAGAAAGGTGAGGCCCTATGAGCCCCACCCCCTCCATGACAGGATGCTAAAAGACCCAATCTTTTGTAGATCTTGTGCAGGCAATCACAGTTGTTGCAAGTTCAAGAGTGCAATAGCCCTGTGATGCCGGGAAGCCAGTGCTCCATTCACCCATCTTCTTCCTGCTCTTACATTCGTCTTACTGTCTTCTGTGGTATTTCCCGCATTTCAGTTGTGGCTGAACATTCAATAGTCACTTTTTCTCTGTACTTTGAAAAGTTATGAGTCTCTGTAGCCACTGCTTACCACAGAAAAAAAAAATATTCTCTGACCAAAGCTGACGGAAGCACTAATCTATGGGCATAAACACATAAACATACTTATTTAGAAAGCAATGTGATGGGACACTGTGTCCATTTAGCAAAATAGCAGCAGTAGCTACAGTACCAGATGAGAAACCTGTGAAGTTGGCTTTAAATTCAATCAAAGAGTGGTTGATTACCCCTAACAGACTGCCACTACTGCACCAGTGGGCTCATCTTGCCTTGCTGGTTATTGTTGGTGCACACAGGGTCCACACTTGAGTAAGACTGTTGACAATTCTCTGATGGCATCCTGCATAGCACCTTTTGACACTTTGAGGGTTGGCCAACAAAAACCCAGTGTTTTCAAGAGGTATGAAGGATGGGAAGTCACTTTGGTTAGTTACCTAGAGGTTTTGGGAAAGTCAGTGATCAATAGGACTCCTCTCCCAGACATCAATGGCTACAACTAGTCTTTACATGTCTTTAATGAAAAGTAAAAAACAAAACAAAACATTTGTTTCTGAGAAAGGATTACAGTATTACTTCTTAAACTCTTTCTACTCAAGAACCCCTTTTTGTTATAGAAATGTTTACACAACCCCAGATACACAGATACATAAAATAGTTCTACAAAGCAAACAATTATCAATAATAAATCACAAAAAATCTTTTAGGCTGCTAATGGTAAGACCAAGATTGCTGTGAGACTCTTCACCTTTCTGAAGAACACCTTGGTAGAAATCTTTTACCATCACAGGATCACAGGCCTTGCTGTGATTCTACTCCCACTCAGTCCCTGTACCAAGTATACAACCACCACCACCAAGTCACACTCTACAACTACCCAGTGCCTGTCTGAGAAAATGGGAGCATGCCCTATGTGCCCAGCCACCAGAACCCCAGCACCACAGCCTGGTGTGGTTAAAGAGCCTAGGAACACACCCCCTCCCTTGTAGTCCCCAATAAGAATATGAAAACCAAAATAAAGTTATTTTAAAACAGTTCTTTGGTACACATATAATTTCACCATTTACTAAAGACAAAACCAAGTTTGCATACTAATGAGATGAACGTGCCTCTTTATTTGTACAGTGAGAATAAAATTGGCTGAATATTTGAAACAAGAACACAGAGCATCTTTGATATTTTTCAGCATTGAGCCATGCTTTGACTTTAATCATCAGTGTTGCGAAAGCTGCTTCGCATGAACATATAGTATAAAACAACAGCAGCACGTTTGGGACATTTCAGAAATTGTTTTGAAATTCTGTCCTAATCCTAAGCCGAAGTTCATTTAATGATTTTTTATTAAGTATGATTTATTTATTTTCTGTTTATGTGTGTTTTGCCTGCATGTATGTAAGTGCACCATGTGCATGCAATGCTCATGGAGACCAGAGAGGGTGGCAGATCCTCTGGAACTAGAATTATGGATGGTTGTTAGCCACCATGCAGGTGCTAGGAACTGAACTGGGGTCCTCTGCAAGAGCAGACAGTGCCCTTAACCTCTCAACCATCTCTCTAGCCCTGTTTAATGATTTTTTAAGTCAAATTTAAGTCAGCAACTCATACAGCAGTTTCTCAAATTAAACACTCTAACATACCTACATTCCAAAGATATACTAATTTGGCACTTACACACTGAGGGATGATGGTCGGAAAATATTAAGCCTTTGTTTTCTATAAACCAGTTTTTCTATAAGAGCAGAAACCTGTGTGTACACTGAAGCACTGCAACTTATAACATGATGGTTTCCAGTCTGAGCTGAGGTGTCCCAGGCATCATTGGTTGGGGTTGTGTGTTGTGGTGGCAGGCACAGGGCAAAGCGTGCAGGTCCTGTATTCAGAATAAAGGCTGCAGTGAAACTGTACCATACAATAGACCCAGTGTTGCCAGAAACACCTCAGATTCATTATACATTTGATTTTGAATTAGGTTTTGGTTGTTGCACATTCATAATTATTTTACCATTGGCTTATACTGTTTCCAGTCTCCCGTCAGTTCCTGAGCATGGGGTTAGAGGAATTAGTCCTTGTGTAAGACTTCATACTTCCAGCAGACGAACTCTCCTGAAGAGGGAGGAGGGAAAACGCCTGTAAGAGCTGACAAAGATGCACTTCCCAGACTCTTCAGCCTTCCTGGACAGCTCACTTCATTTGGATCGAACCAGTGGGTGGGCCTGCAGATTTGTGGCTTTAAATTTTGTTTCTAGAATAGCTCAACAGAAGGAAGGTTTTTCCCTTCCTCTTCACCTTTGTTATACAATTGTGATCTCTGACTGAAAAACTGGATGCTTGCTAATAAGGAAGCCCAGGTCCTCTGGGACACAAGAGGGTCCGGGAACATCCCAGGGGTGAAGCAGAGATAGGGGTGGTAAAGCCCACAGACCTCCTATGGCATTTGCACTCTGTCTTTGTGTACTGGGGCCACTGTCCTGTGGGGAAAGCCATGGTTCTCACACAGGTCACTGGACTCTTTCCAGGTCTGAATCTGCTTCAACCTGCCACCTAACAGCTTAGAATCTAAGCACCTTCATTTATGGAATTGAAATAATTCCACTGTGTAAACTGTTCCTTTTGCTCCCTAATTCTTTACTGAAGTTAGATCAAATAGCGGATGTTTTTTTTTTTTAAAATATTCAGGGCAGTAAAACATTGTTAGATGCAGTCTAAGAACAGGGTGAATTTAAAGTGAAAAGAGCCCCCAGCCAGCAGTCTGGAATTAAGCCTGTCTCAGAAGAGTGGTGAAGATGGATGTCCTACAGGAACACTGATACAGGCCATTTTCCCGGGATCTGATCGGTTTTTTTCTGGCAGACAGGTTTTCAGTAGCAAAACCAGTTCTGTTTGTTACCTGATGGTCCTACTTCTCAAGTGGATTTTTTTCCCCTCTCTTGTGGTAAATACAGAGTGCATTGTGGGTGAGAAGTCCAGGCCACTGTGGGAAGAGCTACTGGGTGAAGGATACATGGAGAAAGGTGACTGCTTGGCAGAGCAGTGCAAGATGTGTTAATGGGGTACAATCATGCAGAAGCATGAGTCTTGCACGAGCGTGTGAAAGTGTGTCTGCAGGGCCTTCGTGGGGTGCCACCTCATGATTTCCCCAAGCAAGATCCTGAATGTTCATACCTGCGCGGTGAGGGAAACAAGGCCAGGATTGGAATCAGTTCTCCAAAAAGCAGATGAAGTTTGTTGTTATTCCCCCTCCCTCCCGAGGGACCAGGGAAATGGCCCCAGGGGGTGGGTTTTGGAGAATACAGTGTGGTCGACTTGCCCCTGGCTCTCTCAACCCACCAGGGTTCCTACAGCTGAAGGGGGCTGCAAGGGTCTGAAGGTGGGTGGAAGGAAGCAGCGTCAGTCACTTCCTCGCTGCAGCAGCGCGGCCGGGCGGCAGCGGGGTGTGCACCGGGTTGTGCAGCCCTCCCCCGGGCCGGGAAGGGGCGGAGCCGAGCGTCGCCGCCCCAGACGTCCCCTCCTCCTGCCGCTCCTGGGTGCCGAGCCCTCCGCGGCCACCGCCGCTCAGAGCAAGCTCACAGGGAGCCCGAGGCAGGAGGGCGGGCTGGCCCGGCTGGGCTGCGCGGGGCTCCGCTGGGGCTGGTGCTGGTGAGTCCGGACGCTGGAGGCGGGGAGAGGGGCGGGCTGGTCATCCCCAGTACGACGCTCCGGAGCCCCGGGCCGAGTGCTGGAGGCGGGGATGTCAGGATCCCGACGCTGGGGAGCCCTGGACCCGATCCTGGAGGGAGGATCTAGAAACGCTTTGCCAGGTACCCCGACCCTAGGGCCCGGGGCTAGGTAGGACCCATGGTTGAAGAGTTTAGGTACCCGATCCTGCAAGGCAGGATGGACGGTCCAGACTGTGGAGTTAGGAAGCCGCAGACCCTCAAAGGGCTGAGGTGGGGGAATCCAAACTAAGATGGTGATATCTAGGAGTAGGTTTGGGGTAGGTGTCAGGATCGCGTTTGGGGGTTGCCTGATCCTGGGGGACAGGAGAGGAGGGATCGCGACGGAGGGGGTCCTGTGCACATTCTTGGGGCGGCCTCCGCAGGGCAGAGGGGAACCGGGAGGGAACTGCTGAGCAGAGGAAGAACCTAGCGGAAGGGGGTGTCCGAGGGAAGGGAGCCCCAAAAAAAGAAAGGTGAGTGAGGCTTGTGCTTCTCCCTGCGGAGGTGGAGGGGGCTTCTCTCAGGGGACTTGTAGAGTGAGTCAGTTGCTGCTGGTTTAGGGGCGAGGGTGAACTGAGAGATGGGGACCAAGCACTAAGGTTGGAGGTGGCAGGTGGAGCAGTGACATGGGGAAGGTCCCAGTAACCCTCCGTGGTTGGGGTCAAGGACACCCCTAGAGGGCTTGTGTTTGACAGCAAGATTGAGCGACCCCAGACAGGACAGGTGGGGACCCAGAACTCAGCAAGTACTGCAGACCTAGTGGTGGGCCCAGCAGGAACCAGGACCTGGAGGCAGCCAAGCTTCTCACCAACGGACAACTTTGACTTGCTTAAGTTGCACCTTCTGTTTCTGACCGGGGTTAGGCATGGTGTTGGTCCGGGGATGTAATGAGAAGAGCCTGGGCCAAAAGAAATAGTCAAGGAGTGAGATTTCAAATTCATAGGTGGCATCTACCTTGTGTGCCTTGGGCAGAACTCATGTGATGGAGGTGTGTATAGAGTTGAAATCCACAGGTGCTATTTACTCAGGAGGGGGATAAACAGAGAGAGAGAGAGAGAGAGAGAGAGAGAGAGAGAGAGAGAGAGAGAGAGAGAGAAGAGAGGAGAGGGAATGAGAGTGAATTTCACAGGCAAATATAGTTTGGGGTTTGTATTGGTGAAGGCTTCATTCTCCTGCTGTTAAGAGTTACCTATGGAAGGTGCTGTCTAGGATTGCCCTGTTAAGATCATTCATTACGTGTACTCATATCTGACAGGACCCTTGACAGGGTCCATACTGCCTAGCCTTGGCATCTCACAGGATGAGTATCTAAGTATCTAAGAACAAGACCAGGGCACAGTCTGATTGTTTTCTTTGGTTTAGCTTGGGTGCGCAAGTGATTTCATTTAGTTAAAATAAGGCTGACCATCTTGTGTTAACTTATCCTATGTTGTTAATTACTTGTAATAGGTAGTTTGTTTTGGTGTAATAGGTGATTCAGGAAGACTCAGTGATTTCTATGTTATTGGAAGATGCCTGGGTTTGGGAAAGAGCACCCTCTCCCTGCTACACTGAGTACAGGTTTATCTTCTGACACACACTGAGATAAACTTGCTGTCTCAGAGAATAAAGGGCTGTTTTGTTTTGTTTTGTTTTGTTCTGTTTTATGAGACAGGGTCTCATATAGCCCAGGTTGGCCTCAGACTCACTACATAGCTAATCCTTCTGAGTCTGGCCTCAAACTCACTACGTAGCTAATCCTTCTGAGTCTGTTTAACAAATACTGGGATTATAAGTGTGTGCCAACAAACTAGGTTTGAAGTATTTTCATGGTGTTTTTTGTTTTGCTTTGTTTTACAGCACTGAGGCTCAAACCCAGTGGTGTGTTGTTGTTGTTGTTGCTAGTGGAGATGTTGCTTTATTTTTTATTTCATGTTTCTTCTTTTCCTTTATGAAAAGGAAATCTTCAGAACTATGCAAGTTAACAGGGAAACCATTCATTCATTTTTAAAGCATAACAATAGGACGAGCTTTGCTGCATTAGGGTGTGTACAGAGCTTGTCGAATAATCTGATCCTTGCATCAAAGATCTGCACTATCATTATTGCAGTAGCATAGTCATTCACTTAGACGTAAAGCTAGCTGATGCTTCCCATTCTTTATCCAAATGTTAAAATAAATATGCCAGTACTTATGCATTCAAATGACTATTTCTCCCCCTCAGAAGCTTTCTCTTGGCAAGCTGGGTACTACCTCCAGTGATGCTGTCATTGCTGAGAATAGTTTGGAGTTCCTGCTTTGGAATTGCCTTCAGATTCTGCAACACATTTACTGATTGCCTCAGTGCTCACAAACCTGCAGTTGGCAAAGAGACAAACACTGATTGGGGCCAACTTGGGCTTCTGAGATAGAGAACTGAGTTTATAAGATAAACCATGATCATTAAAGTAATAAAGATTTTCTTGAAGGATTGGCAGTTTGAAACGGGGCTTCCAGTACACCTACGGTGTTTATGTTCAAGATTGAACAGTCATTAGTAGCTGTGTCAGGTTTGTGACAAAACTTCTGAGACAACTTAGAAGCAAGAAAGAACAATCTGGGCTCATAGTTTTAGAGGACTCACTTGACCCCATTGATTGGGGCTTGTGGTAAGGCAGAGTATCTCCATAGGGGAGCTTATGGCAGAAGAAAGTGGCTCACTTCATGACTGTCAGTGAGCAGAAAGAGAGAAAAAGAGACTAAGGGGCCAAGGTTCCTTCAAGGGCATTTTCCCCCTTACCTACTTCCCCCAATTCAGTCCCATCATCTGCTTTTTCCATTGCTTCCTAGTCATGCCCATAGCTTGGAGCCAAGCATTCACTACAAGAGCCACTGGGGTCATTTAGGATCCAAACCTATAAAAGTACCACCTTCACATGCTCTAGTATGTATGGGTGAAAAAAGCCTGTATCTGTCTCTTTATATTATGCCTAATAGTATATTGGGCCATGTGAAAATAAGTGTCCTTTTCCCCTTTGATATTCTTTGCTAGGAAGTTTCTATTACTGTGGATTTTTACAGGAAGCAAAATAAACAAATGAACAAGAGGCTTGTTTTCTCAACAAAATAGAGATCCAGAAAGCCACTCTCATCCCTTGTGCAAGTTATGCCTACGGCTTGACTTTTGATGTGAAAAGATTTCAATAGAAGCAAGTGGAAGAAAATGACTGTGAAAATCCACTCCACATTAGGATTCCAGGGCACACCGTGGGAAGCCAACTGCACATATGCCCCCTTTCAAGAACTACCCTTTCCCTAAATCCCCAATTTTCTTTTCAGGTTATGTAGCAACAGGCTTCACACCATGGCTTGATCTTGATTTAGCTGCGTTTTTTCACCTCTTTGGATCTCAGTTTTCTTGCTTTAAAATGAGGATGATAACAGGTATGGACCTTATGGGGCTCTTAGGAAAATTAAATGAGATTTGTGCATCTGGAATTCTGAATTCAGTGCCCAACATGTAACAACTGCTATTAGAATCTGGCTATTCTTATTAGTAAAATTTTTTATTGGTGGGTTTATATTAAAATTATTTTAACTCCATGTCTAAATTTATAGTTTTCTAGGGAATGACATTATTTTCAGCTGAGCTTTACAACTTAGTATAGGAATGAGAAGATCTTGTTTTTATCTTCCTAGCATCCTAGGGGTTTTTAAATGATGACTTTAAAAGCAACCACAGTTACTTTGTTTTGAATTTGGATATTTTTAGTGCAAATATTCTTGTTATGATTATTATGATTATGTATTATTATTGTTTGGTATGGTAGTGAAAATTTAAAGGAAAAAGAGCTTGAACGTCTCTCCTACAGCCCTCTCACCCCACCCCCCACCATGCTCCAACGAAAATGTTTTTCTTTTCTTTTTTCCTTCCTTCTTTCTTTTTAAATGTGACACTCATATAGTTCTCTTTTTTTAGAACATTTTGAAAAGGCTGGCCTAGAACTATGTAGCTGAGGATAACCTTGAACTTCTGATCCTCCCCACCTCCAGTTCTGTGATTACAGGCCTGTGCCACCACCACGCCTTCATTTCTGTGGTGCTAGATATTGAACCCAGGTCCTCCTGAAGGCTATGCAAGCATTCTACCAATTAAGCTATGTTCCCAGCCATGAAAAGGATGATTTTGCTAAACATTCCTTTCTGATAAAGTGAGTTTACTCCCTTTGTATTTTAAAAGGATAAAGAACAGCCTGCCACTCAATTTTCAGCTGCTTTATATTGTTGTTAATTTTTCAAATATATGAATTTTACTGTGCAAGTATAAATTAGGAAGATGGAATAACAACTTTATTAAATTTTATCAAGTGATGTTTGAGTTACTATAAAACAGATCATGAAATCATCAACCTTTTATGAGCGCTTACTGTGTTTGAGTCTGACCAATGCTAGAAATGTAGAGCTGCAAGGCACAGGCTTTGTCCCTCCAAAAATTTACAAATGTGCTACCTTGAGTTTATACACTAGCAAAAGCTTTCTCTCCTGACAGTTTTTCAGCCAAAGATTATTATGGCTTTCATTATTTGCTTGTGTTAGATAGTTCTCTCATTGGTGTGAGAAAAATACCTAACAAAAGCAACTTAAGGAAGGCTATGACTTGGCTCACAGTTTGGGAGAACAGCCCATCATAGAAGGAAGCACCTTGTTGAGAGCAGAAAGAAGCTCTCACTATAGCCGCAGAGTGTGAGGCAGCCGATAGCATCACATCTGCAATCAGGAAGCAGAGAGAGAGGAATGCTGATGCTCAGCTTACTTTTTCCTTTTTGATTCAGTGTATGGGATGGTACCACCCACCATCAGGGTGACTTTTCCCTCCTCAATTAAATTTCTGTTGACATGTGGGCAAAGACACACCCCTAGGTATGTTTCCTAAAGGATTCTAAATCCACTTGATAGGGAAGATTAACCATCATAGTTCTTTTATTTCAATTTCTCAGAGAAATAGGGCAGATCTCTCAAGAGTGTTCATAATTTTTTTGTGTGTGGGGGGGTCTTTTTGAGACAGGGTCTCCCTGTAGCCCCAGCTGTCCTGGAACTCACTATGTAGAACAGGCTGGCCTTGAACTCACAGAGATGCGCCTGCCTCTGCCTCCCGAGTGCTGGGACTAAAGGTATGCACCACCATGCTAGGCAAGTGTTCATAATTTTAAGGTGGTTTAGCTTTTCAGGATTAGGTCTCACTGTAGGCTTAGCTGCCATGAAAGGAGATGTCGATAAAAGTACTTAGTGGCCAGGTGTGATGGTACACACCTGCAATCTTAGCACTCAAGGGGTAGAAGCAGGAGAATTGTGATGTCTAGACTAATCTGGGCTACATGGGTAGACCCTATCTCAAAAAAATGACTTAGTGAGTTGCATAGTGGTGTGGAACTGTAGAATGGGGTTACACTATTCTAACATCATACATTCCTGGAGGATTGTGTTTGTTTTTCTGCTGTCCCTCTTCTAATGACGTATATATTAATACCAGGTAAATAATATACAGAGTATCTCAGCCCAGAGTTGTGGCTATCAATGAGGGGGGTGGGGGATTGACTTTGCCCACCCCTGGAGACTTTTAGCCCTGTCTGGAAACATTTTTTGATTGTCATAACTGGAGGAGGTTGGGTTGTTGTTGGCATCTGATAGGGGGCAGAGGTGTATCTGAAGAGCTAATATAGAAATAAGTGAGAAGCCTGTATGAAATGCTTAGGACACAGCAGGTACCAATAAATGGCCACTCTTATTAGTATGACAGGCTAGTAGATCTGGGTTTGAATCTAGGGACTGTTCTTTCAAAAGACATACATAGCCTTGGGTCTTTAATGTATTATGTACAGAAAGAATCCAAGATTCTTGATCCATCCATGAGCCCCAAAGTAGGGCAGACAGAGACCTATGGTTCTTACTACATTCTGGCCCAGACTTGGCCAGATAGCAAAGTGTCATCTGCAGGTCATGGCAAACAAGTGAACAGACTTCTCTTGTGTAAAGGAAAGATGAGGTGAGGTTAGAGGAGTCTCCTTTTCTTTCTGGGCTTTATCTTCAGGACAAGACAGCCAGGGCAACAGCCCCTTCTCTGTGCTTACCTCTCCGGCTTGGGAGGCTCTTCTCCATCATAAATCAGGCTTCCACTGTTGTGTGAGCAGGAGTGCTGCCAGTTTCCCTTTGCTTTCCCCTAGTCCCTTCTACCTGAGCATTCTTATAGCAGTGCCTTTACTTTTAACCAAACACTGTTTGGTGTTATGTGCCTGACCCTACCATCTGAGAGGGGAGAGCTCAGGCTCTACTTTGATCTTCATCCCTTACTGTTTGCTTCACCCTCATTTGGGACCCCATGAGTAAGTAATTCACAGTAACAAGCAGATCTTCCTTGAGATGGGGTAGGCCCGTTCCAGGCAGTCTGGGTAGGTGCAGTGTTTAGTGGACAGGGATGTAAATAACAGTGGTTTCTCAGCTGTGAGCTACTAACCATTAGGACTGTGGCTGTGTTCTGGCTGCACAATAGATTCACCTGGGAACACCCCAGCTCCACCGTGAACTACCCATTGAGAAGCTCTGGGTAGGGCCTGGTATTAGATTTTTAAAATGCTTCTCAGATGATTCTGATACCTGGAGAGAACTGAATGTTGAGAACTACTTCCTTGTTAAATAATTGCCCGAGATGGAGCACCTACCAGTGTCAGGAAATGGTTTACATCATTCATTGAAATCTTAGATCAACTCTGTGAAAAGGAATTATGATTATTATTATTATTAGGCCTATTTCACAGATGAGGAAATTGAGATCATAGAGGCTGTGATTTGAGCAATGTGGATACTGCTCAAAAAAGTCTGATTGTTGCTCCTGCTTCCTTTGCACTGATTTGTTAGCTTTTCTCCAGCCTTTAGACTCTTGCCTTAAATAGGAGGGAGCCCACCCGAGGGCCTGTAGCGTTCACTTCTTCATTTGTAAGTGAGGCTGGACTGGCTGCTGCTTTTCCACTAACTGAGGGAGAAGAGCCTGCTATTGCTTAGACCTACTTTGTAGCTCCTTCTCTAGGATACTGAGAACCATGAGTTACTGAAATTCATGATGCTGCTTTGCTAGTCCAGGATGAAAAGAAATCTGAACACTTAACTCTTGCAATGATACTTTTATTATTTTGCATTTATTTATTTTATGTTTTTGTGACAGTCTCACTATACCAGGGTGGCATTGTCCACCTGCCTCTGCCTCTGCCTCTCGAGTGCTAGGATTGAAGACATGTGCCACCACACCAAGCCAACAGAAGGATTTAAAAAAAAAAAAAAAATAGCTTCAAGGGCTGAAGAGATGACTCAGTGGTTAAGAGTCTTGCAGAGGACCTGAGTTTGAGTCCCAGCACTCACATGGTGACTGACAACCATCCTTAACTCCAGTTCCAAGGGATCCAATGCTTTCTTCTGGCCTCCAACAACATAGGTGCACTTACATATATGGAAGCAAAACACTTATACACAAAATTTCTTTTAAAACTTAACTTCAGCATAATATTCATGACCTAGGGTATTACCTTAACAGCCATAATCTTACCCCATGCACCTCAAGAACCACACTATGGTCTCATTTAAATTCCTTAACAACTCTCTATTTTATTTTTAAGTTATTTATTAGTTTTTGAGCGTGTATTTGTGCATATACATCGTAGCATGCAGAGGATAACTTTCGGGAGTCAGCTCTCCCCTTCCACCTTACTGAGGCAGGCCTCTTATTTCTGCTGCTGTGCTTCATACTCCAGGCTAGCTGGCTGTCGAGCTTCTGAAGGAGTGCTGAGATTACAGAGGCACACTACCAAATCTTGCTTTTTACAGGGATTCTGGGGATCAAACTCAGGTCATCAGGCTTGCATTTTTACCAGCTGAGCCATCTTGCTGGCCCTGCAGTGAGATGTTTGATGACCTTCCCAGTAGTCTAGGAACCAAAGGAAACCTTATTCATTCACTTATTTATCAAATCTGAAGGGTCTACCAGGTGCCTGGGTCTACACTAAACACTGGATTGGAATGCTGAGCCTCTATAGAGGCTACAGTTAAGTGCTAAATTTAGAGATGACACATCTTTCAGATGGAGAAAATAGTTGATGACTTTCTCTTTTTATCATTACTTTTTAGTTAGCCTACAAAGAAATGGGTTTCATTGTGACATTTTCCTGCATACTTGTCATTATGCCTTACTCTTATCTGTGCCCCCTGTCCTCTCCTCTACCTCCCACCTCACCCTCTTGCTGGCTCTTCTTCCCCCACCTGCCAAATTGTTCTCTCATTTACTTTCATGATATGTGGACTAGATTACATGGCTTGTGCACAGAACTAAACCAGCAGTCCAAAGCAAGGCTTGGACCACCTATAAATAGGGGGACACTAGTTATTTACCTACTCAGGAA